AGCAACTCTCTCCGACTCCGTAAGATGTCGAGCCAAGCACAAAATTTTTGAGATCCCTTGTCGGTTACGACTTCTGCGATCCTCTGGCACACGAAAAATACTGACCGATATTTTTCATTATGACCGAGGACACGAGGAGGAATGCTTCAAAGTCGTGGACGTAACGCTTCTGCGTGACGTCAACAGGGGCTGCATCATCTTTTTCGTCTTTGTCTGCAAGCAGCCACCGACCTGGTATTGCCTCATACGGAATGATTGAGTGCATGCCCGATTTTTGCCACCTTAGAAATACCATGTGGCTGCAAGGAAGCAGTACGATCTGATCGAAGGCGCAGCTGCAAGTGGTTTAAACCAAGCTGACTGCGTATTGCCCGCCCGATTTCGCACTAGTTATGGTAAATACACCTGGCGAGCTTTCATCACTCGACGTGTCGTACACCTCTTTGCCAACATACTCATCTCTTCATCATAGGTCTGGTTGTATCGAAACCCCACGCGCTTAACTTTGGCAGTGTACTGATCTTCAGCGGACTGCGGTAAGAACAGAAGGTGGTCAATGCACTCGTCCGTGGCCATATGTCGATGCCGTAAGTTCTTGGCAGAGCCTTAACTAGCCTCCAAGCGGTTGTTCGTGTTATTGTCGAGGTGAGGAATGTTTCCACGCTCGAACGTACACCACTGTTCCTTGCCGTTAAGACAATTCTCAGTAAAATAGTCAAGGAAAGATGGCTTTCCTGCACACAGTTTCTCCAAGGCGGACAGGTAATCATAGAAAAGACTCTCATTTTGTGCATGAATCATCATCGTGACAATATTTTTGATGTACAGCTTCTCAAACGCAGAAAATCCGTAGTCTTTCTTGCTAAATTCTCGCCTGAGATAGTCGATGACGTGGAAATGGCAGAGAATAACTGTCGCGCACGGAAACTCTTCACGTAGCAGTGCCAACTCAGTGAAGATTTTGTCAATTACGATGACTTTCACGTCTGTCCACACTGGGTTATTCTGCTTGAAAGCTTGTACCGCGTGCAACATGTTCAATTGCTTTCGCCATCAACGAGTGCGTGTTGCGCAAATGATCTACACCCGAACTTGTCTGTGACCATAAAGCCGAACAGGTGATACCTACATGAGCGTAAACAGTTCACAAATTCGTGCGCGTGTCAGTGAGAGGCTCACAAACATTGGTGATCCGAACGAAATCGTGAGGAGCACCTTACCAATAAATATTAGGCCCGTAAGTAGTATCACCACAGATCGCTTCGAGGAACTTGCGTACCATCCTTCTCATGTGCGCCGTCTGAAAAGTAATACACGACGTAAGGCCAGCTGCCTTATCGCGGGAAAACATTAACAGCGTTTCCAGGGCGTTCGCTAAAGTCTCGCAGGACCTGTGTCACTCGCTCATTGTCGTGTCCTGACGTGTACGTCTCCCGACGCATTTTTGCGAATAGATTTTCCACATCTTTAGGCAGCACTGGGTAGCCCGACACTTCTTTTAGATATCGCAGGATTTTTTCTTCTTGTATCCGCCTATAATCAGACACAAATCCTGTAAACAATTTTACCTTTAAAGCAGTACTCGTTCGCTTACCTTGCACCAGTGTCTTGACCACACCTCGCGTTCCAGGGGGCGGTTTTTTACGAGCCTCAGCGTAGAAGTAGTAGACGTCCCGTCCGACGTTATGGTTGTGCGTCGCAATATGGGATGTAACCCGAACCTTATACTCGTGCTCCTTGACATGGACAAGCACTGCGTTCAGCTTTGTTGGGCACTCGATGGAGCATATGTTGTGGTTGATTCTTGACTCCTTTCCTCTGAGCTTGAACGGCCACCCGTGCGTACAGATAAGCGTCTTCGTATAGAACTTGTGAGTCTCGTCGAAAAGAAGTGATGTTTTCCCCCGTCGACTTGACGAAAGCTGACGCTGTTTGTTGCGGTCAGCTACAGAGTTAGTAGAGCGAATTTTGTATAGCTGATGCGTCTCGTCCTAATACCTGCTGTAGAGAATGCATATTAGCGCAAGAAAACCACAGGTATAGATCCACGAACACGCACGTTTTAAACTCTTCATGAATCGCGCCCCAAGACGAAACCTCCCCGCTGAGCTGGCTGAAAGAGACTCTGGTGCCTTCGCTACCATCACTGTCGCTGGCATGGGCACGCTTCTTCGCCTTCTGCGTGGACATCGCTCCCCGAGGGAACTGCTTGCTCAGCGAAGAAGGCTGGGGCGGAGGTTATTTTTTTTAGTGGAAGGCAGAAGGGGCACAAAATCTCTAAAAACTAAAAAATAGACAACTGCCCAGCGGTATCTCGGTAACCCTAACTTGGCTTTTCTCGCAGCAAAAACACTGGTGAACGTAGGCACTTCCTTTTTCTAAAAGCAGAAAAAATTGGCAACCAAAAAATAGGTCGCTTTCTATTTGGACAGCGCTCTATTAATAAGTCGGATATCCGATTAAATGTCAGATAATAAAAAAAGAACGCCGTCGTACTAAGGTTCCTTAGTTCGCCTGTTAAAAATCCTACCGGTAGGACGCCCATAAATCCTACGGGTAGGACAGGTTGAAGAGTGGTGGTTTACAATGGTACTTCCTAGAAGTATGTTTTAATCTTATCTATACTAGCTGTCTTGTGATGCTGCTAGGTGCTGGTGGTAACACGTTCTACCTGTCATCGCTCCACATAGCGCATAATAGCTATCCGTATTGCAGTCTGATCATGTGGTACAATAGAACGACGCCTTCCTCTTGCATATCTTGCAGCGTCGTTGTGCTCGTTGCGGTGTCTTCTTCAGCCGTTGGTATTGAGGGCGGTCTCCTAAGACCAGCAGCGTGTGAGCAGGAACGCTGGTGTCATTCATATCACCATCAGCATTACCATCTCTCCTCACTCGGCCTGTCAGATAGTCATTAAAAATTAACTGGTGCGCCAATCGGGAAGCAAATTCGCCAAACGCAACAGTGGAACAGGCCACGATATTATTGCTCTTCGTCTCGTGCTGATAAGCAAGATAGGCGTCCACTATAACCATTCCAAGAATTGTGGCAAATATTCTGTGCGCCCACGAATGGGTGAGCCATTGACGCTCCATCTCTAGTGACCCCTGTCTATAATGGTCGTGCACGTCAATAGTTGAAAAATGCCGAAAGAAAAGCTCCACCATGTACGGCCGAGGTATTCTTTTTTCGTAGCGCTCTGTGCGAATTTCGCCACCTTCAACAACACGCCGATGTCGAGCACGCACACTATCAGAACCCGGTAGTGTGGTTCCTCTGTTAGATATTATTGTTTTGGGCTCTCGATCATTCCAGCAAAGTGCGTACATTTTGGATCCATTTGAGCAGCTGCTCTCCATTACTGTGTGACTGCCACGAGGCCGAGAAACACTAGACCAACTTTTTAGATAGGCCATAGGATATTCTCTAGTCGCAGTCTTGACCATACCCATGAAATATAGTCCCATCATTGAATTGAGTTGAACAAGTGTCTTCACAGATGCGAAGGCACTATCGGCGACGACGGTGCGACGGCTGCCGGCGTAAGGTTGAGCAAGTCGCAGCACAACAGCAGTACCTTCTCCAAATTCGGCATTGTATGCTTTTTGACGTTGCCGCTGCGCACCTTCCATTATATCTAGACCTAGCAAAATTCCAGTGTCCCCATCACCAATAGATTTCAGCTCCGCACCAACACCCTCGGGTTTTCGCTGGATCTTGGTAAGATGGGGGATTCCGTCATGTGTATACTTCTCCTCTCTTCCTTGCCAGGAGCTCATGCATTCATCCACGCATAGCACCGCTCCAGGAGATATAACCCTTTTTCTTTGCTCGTTAAATGAATTATTTAGAAGTCTAACGGCTTGCCACGGGTCGTCAGCTGGTGCCTGGCTTGGCGCAAACCGAAGAGCGCTTTGAATGTTCTGAAAAGTACGGCACGTCATTCCATAGAGCTGACCAAAATTTGCAGCAGTTCCCACGCTTCTTTCTGGCACGGACGAGTTCCAATATACCGTTAGGGGCCCGCGTCTGGACTCAAGAGTCATAGCCAACCTGATGCCAATCCAGCGAAAGAATTCACCTCGACCGATAACTCCTTGTCGTCTCTCCACCAGCAGCGTATTCGTTTCTTGTATCGTAGTCTGCAACGACCCCATAGGGTACATGAGATAGAAGTAAGATACAAACGAACGTTCCCCCAGCAGCAAATGCGATGGCCAGTGAATTGATGCCTTACGCGCAGGGACAAAATCCGCGGGGCCAATTAATACAGCATCACAATGTATCCATCGTCTCCCGTGGGCATACACACTTCCGTCGTCTTCATTCTCGGCTCTCGACAATCCACTATCACCACCATCGACAGTAATGATGCTATTAGCAGCATTCTCTCTCTATTCATCTGACGAACTGTCACTAATGCTCATGTCCGAGCTAAAGTCTGCAGCGTCAACACCTGCGTCTCCTTCCTCATCAGGTGTACGAGCGCATACGAGACTCCTTGTTTACTAAAAGTACGACCCCACGCCGCTCAGCGAGCTGCTTAGACTTTCCCTCTACGCGATCTCCTGGAGTAAATGGCGGCTGCATTACGTGTCCGTTTGCTTTGCTTCGAATGGCGGAAACAAAAGCTGCCCTTCGGCTATCAAAAGAATAAAATGAATAGCCAATTAATGACGTACGAGCTGAAAACTCTGACGCACCGGTAGGACAATCGTCCTACCCGTAGGACGATTTGAGAGCTAAGGCTAACTTTCATTCTCCCGAAAGAGCCATTTTCTAAAGTAAAGCCTTTCACATTTTATAATAAAAAATCAATAAAAGGATTAGAAATTGTCGAGCCTTCAAGTAGTAATATTCAAAACTTTAAATAACGACAGAGAGGATAATCTGAACGGAACAGTACCACACCAAATTTTGGTCTTTCTGTGTACTTCGACAACATTAGCGTAGCCAAATCGGTTCCCCCCACGTCTCCTGGCGGCATCCTGGTTGCAAGCATGGTTTCTTCCTCCGTATCAAGCACTCGTGTGCCATCCTCTGCGACCGCAAGCTCTCGACCTACTGGCCAATCCACGGCACTTATCTCCGCGTACCTGCTGAAGCAGAGCGCGGGCAAGTGGAATCGCAAACGATGGAACCAACGCTGGTTCGTTCTAGACCGAGACAGTGGCCTTCTGCGGTACTTTCGTCATGCCTCGCCCCTGGAGACCGTACCACTAAGACAGGACGCTCACGGGGTGGTTTCACTCAAGCAGGGAGGCGTCTCGCTTGTCGTGCAGGGAGATCTCCCCTCAGGGGTGCCTACGCCCTTCTGCTTCACAATTCTGGTGGAGGGCCAACGCGAGTTGAGGATTTGTGCAGATACTAACGCGGAGTTTCGACAGTGGACAGCAACAATCTCCACTGTTATCAGTCCCATGAGAGCGTCACCGAGTGTGTCAGAGGCTAAGGTGGCTCTACCGTCGAGTGTGGCGAGTCCGACGTCGAGTACGTCGTCGGCTGTAGAAGAACCGTCACTGTTGCAGTCATCGGTAGTGGAGATGGAGGAGAAGAAGTTGGAGACAGCTGGCAAGGGAAAGGATAGTGAACCGAGAGAAATGATAGAACAGGTAGTGTGGTGGACACGAGGAAGGGAGCATCGTCTTGGTGTTGTGCTGATTGGGAATTCGTGTTTTCAACTATGGACAGATGTGCAGCCTGGTTATCGGCAACAAGAGCGTGCTGATCGCTTTAAACCCTGTGCTCGGTGAGGATGTGACTGGATTCTTCTTTGAGCACTGCAACTGACACCGGATTGTCCTTGGTATTTCTGTAGTCCTCGTGCGATTTGGGAACGTTTCTGTGTGGCTTTTGATCGCGTTGTTGGCCAATGTTTATTGTGTGTGGCTACTGTGGTTTCGATCGCCCGATGTCCATGCTAAGCAACCACTTTCGCCCGTCAAACCATGTAGAACGGCTTCAGTGAAGGACGGCAGACTACAAACAACGGCGACAGGCATCGCAAATGACTCTGGGATTTCCCCAGACAAGTCCAGCTCCAAGTTGAGAACTCAATCTGCTTCGCTGCGTGCTCGAGCATCTAGTAGCTCGACTGAGGAATCTCCTAAGCGTGCAGCCTTCTTGGGCCAAATCAATGGCGTGCGAATTTCTGCTGGCGCCTCGTTGAAAATGTGCGCTCCTTCCTTATCGGAGGTCGTGACTGGGAGCTGGGCGCAGGTGGACGCAACTCGTTTTAACGTCCGCCAAGGTTTGAATTTGCTTTAACAGTTCGTTAGCGGCTTGGTACGAAGCTAATCACACGCATTTATTATGTTTGACAGGACCGAACTACCGCAAGACGAAGCTCAAAGCTGCCTCGGCTGCTGCCTTGCTGGAACTCGTCGCTGTCGACGTCTATCGGGTTTGTAAAACCTTGTGCTAGCTGTGGCCAAACTCAATCTGACCGTTATTTGGCGTCTTTCTAGTCGGATGTAAAGGCTGACAACGTCGGCAGCATTGTCGACTTGAGCGCTCTAAAGCCCGAATCGTGAGTAGAAAACCGCAATGACAAACCCAGCTTGCTGTACTCACTCCTTATTGATGTCGTATGGCTTGGTTCACAGAGGAAAACTGGATCTGTTCATCGTGAATTGCCAAGTTCCTTCCTACCAGCCCTCCAACCCTCTCTGGGGAGAGAAACAAGGGGACGGCCCAGGCTTCAACTTTGTCACATACTTTGCTATTCCTCCAGCCGTTCGAGAAATGCTCGACGCACCAGGAGAATCATCGCTGCAAGCAGTTCGGGTACGTAAAGTATTGCAGAATGGCTTGAGGCAAAGCGTATGGCTTAACAGTAACGCTGCGTGTGTGATTTCCAGCTTCTTAAAGATTTTATGCAGCCTCAAAGTTGGGTGGTAAGCTCGACATTTGGTTGTGTCTTTTGTTTTACTACCGGAGAGCTCATGTCCATCTGCACGTACAGAGCGAGCGATTCAAAGCGATTGGCATCGTGGTGAATCCTCAGGAACAAAATCTGGGGCGAGCTGAGCGACGTTTGCTCGAAACCTACAACGGCCAGCCGATTCTTACTCGGCCTCAGCATCGCTTTTACCGAGGAGATGGCTACTTTGAAGTGGACGTGGACGCCCACGACTTCAACTACATCGCGCGCAAAGGACTAGTTGGGGTTTCTACTCATGCGTGCAACATGATCCTGGACTTTGGCTTCGTTCTGGAAGGCCAGGAAGACAACGAGCTGCCAGAACAAATTCTGGGCTGTGTCCGACTCTGCAAAGTGGACTTACGCCAAGCACCATGGCTCTCTTAGACTAGTGATGTAATTCATCAATAAATATATTATATAACCGTATCTCCGCCGCCATAACTGTTAAGCTTTCCTTTAGGAAAACAACCGACTTGGTTAACCGACTTTACCGATAAGTTCAATCACAAGGGGATGTCAAGCGTCGCACAGCATGACGAGCAAGCGGTCGAGAGCGCAGGCAAGTTCGGTACTGAGTGAGCAAGACGAAGCTCTGGAGACGTACGACTTCATCCCTGGCCATCTGCGTCACCACTTCAAGGCAGACCTCGAAGCTCTTTTGAGCGAGGATTCCAATCGTGTAGAGCAGGAGCGCGTTCGTCATGCTCGCCAGACCAGAAGTGCTTATGTGGTGGCGAATTCCTTCTCTCTGCAACCGCCAACGCAGGTGCTGTACTCTAACGCTATCGAACGCGCTATTACAGCTCGCATGACTTTCTCTCGAGCACTGCAAGGATTGGAGAAATACTTTCGCGACGTGATGGCCAAGATGGAGCAGCTAGAAATTCAACACCCAGACGGTGTTGTCGATGCTAGTGGCGTGAAGATTCCCACGCTGATGCAAACGCAACGACAGATCGTAAACGTATGTCAAGGCTGTTTGAATGACTGCGACCTCTATTTAGGAATGTACGAGGCACTCCCTAGTCCGCCAACTGCATCATCAACTCCGATCGTTCGGTATGTTGCGTGCTCTCCAAAGAGCTCAATGCTGCACCAGAGACTCGAGTGTCCTTTCCCAGCTGTAGGAGATCCAAAACAGCCCCAATCAGGTGATAACCAGACCAGACCAATGTGTATTACGATGCAAGCGATGGCTGCAAAAGACGTGATCATTGTGGACGACGTAGCAGAGCTAGAGCAAAACGAAATTCGTCGATTCTCGCCGAATGAAGCGTCGACAGGACCGTTCTCGTGCTTCCCGTTAGTCTCTGGTCAGACGGCGGAAGACACCGCAGTGATTGGAGTTCTCTCTGTCGATTCGTGTCGAAAAGCGCATCGCTTACTACCCCAGTCCATGTCAGTGGAAGGTTTGTATGCATTTCTGCTTCGGATGCAGCTGAAAGACGCTGCGATGGAGCTCAGAAAGGCGAAAATGGATGGCGCTTGCTTTCTTGCACTCACAGAGATCGACATCCGACACAAACCAAGTTTCCAGCGGCTGAAAGTAGCTACGAGAAATAAATTACTGGAGATAATTTGCGCTCTTCAGCGAGGCAGTCGGATGCATCTCTCCGAAGGGAACGAGCGAGCGCTGCCATTTACAAAGGACGACGATGCGTTAGAGTTTCTGGATGGCGTTTCTAAGCTATCGGGCGAATTTCTTGGTCATTACCGTCGCGTTCACTGGATTCAAGAAATCGCAAATAGTACGATGAACCAAGCCTGCACAGCTTATGACGTGTATGACGTTTTGATTCGCGCTATCACCCGGTCGCTGGAGAGCTTGGAGCGTGTTGCAGTGTGGAAAATCACACAGAAGAAAGTAGACGCCACGGCTGCGCCAGCGGCGTCCTTCTCTCCATGGGAAATAGACGTCGTCGCATCTACATCTGTTCCCGATGATCGACTAGTTCCATTCCTGGATGCACACGAGCTAAAGATGAGGCGACTTGCTCTCTGCAAGGAGAACGAAGAAGCGATTCGGGCGTCTAGGGAGACTGGAGCTAATGGCTACACGACTTTACTTCGTGGAGGAATTACTAGTGTCACTTCGGAACCAGAAAGCTCAACGACTTCACGTTCGTATTCTTGTGAACACGCCACGTATCATGTTTCATGGGCAGATCGATCTCTTCAGACGTTGTCGTGGACTCAACTCCGTCAGCTGCTTCCTATTCGGACCATGAACGCCAAGCATTTCGAACTACGCCAACTCTGTCAAAAGCTGCAAGACGAAGCGAACGAACCAAAGACACAACACTCTGAACGTCGGAGAGGGAAGATCATTCGAATCAACAGCCCGAATGGGGTTGTGATCGTCCTACGTGATGCCTCCCGGCCACCCGCTGTAAACTACGTTCTGGAAGTTGATTTTACTGCTCATTTTGAGCCTCCTCAGGTATTTTACGACTTCATAGAGCGAGCAATTATTGTAGCTGAACAAGCGCTGACTTGTGTTCGTGGGCGAGAAGCACGGCAGGCTCTACGAAAGCGCGCCGTGGCGAGGAATACGCAGCGGTTCCAATCGATTGGCCTCAACCCGTCTGGAGATGCCCTTCGTGCTCTGCAAGATATCGTTCACGGCGTGTTTGCGGATATCGTCGAGAGTTTACCTGGTGTTCACGTGCAAATCGCAGAGCTGCAAGCCGATGGAGCTCAACTCCAGTATACGTTTGCCAGCAGTGCGTCCACAATTCTTGGGTGCACATTAAATCGAGGTCAAGGTGTTTCGTTCAAGTGTCTTGACGCAAAGCAAACAGTCGTAGTGGGGGCGACGTCGAAGTTGAGACCACTATTACTGCGCCTCGGTGCACTACGAAGCCAACGTCAAGCCATCGACGACGCATTCCCGTTCGTTTTTGTGCCTCTATTCCATGAGGATTGCTGTGTGGGCGTGCTCAGTGTCGATTCGTTTCAAACTGTTCCAAAGGAAAGACAAGACGAAGCTCATCCTGAAGCTGGAGCTCTGGAGTTTCTAGTTTTGTTGGGTAAATTACTAGCGAGGGCCATCTACGCTAAGCGTCGGTCGTATGCGCTTCACGAAATTCAACTCGCATGCCAAGAACCGCTACGTTCACCGCAGCAATTGCTATTCTACGCCTGTCGAGCACTGAAAGATGTTATGGTTGGAGCTTGGAAGGTTCGAGTTGTGGAGATCGATGGACTGCGGGGGAAGACGACGCTGGTGTACGAACTCTCAGAGGGCGAGCGAGAACAAGCGCGTTCGTGGCTGTTTAACGTGGTGCGTCCCATGGCGTTTCGCTGGAAGGAATTGTGCACAGATACGATCGAGAATTACTCGAGTCAACTGCAGAACAGTCGAGAGCAAGGTGCCGATGGTGTGATCAAACTCTTGGCTGCGATCCGAGAAGACGAAGAAGAGCGTCAGAAGAGTGTGGAAAGGTATGAACAACTGATTGCTGAAGAGCAAGCCTCTCTGTGTAATGCTCCGAGAAGATCAGCAGTCGCGATGGAGAAGGCGAAGCTGCTAGAAAGACAAGTCGCTGACAAGTATTTCTTTCTTCTGGATGAAGCTGGGGACAATTCACCGATGTTAACTGAGGAGTTAGCCCCTGGTGATGACAGACTCTCAAGTCAAAAGTACATCGCCCACGCGTTGAAGCTCTTTCTCGGCACATCGACGTGCTTGTACTCGGAATTGCAGGCAATGGGTCGAACAACAACCAAAGTATTTCTCACAGTTACGGCATTGCCACAATTCCACGCCAGCTGCGACCAGACTTATCTACAACGCGTGACCAGTGTCACGTCGAAATCCATGGCTGCGTTAGGGAGTAGGATACGTCGGTCGAAAGAGCGTACAGACGCTCTCAACGTATTCAGAGACCTCTGTCAACGAGCTCTAACCTGTGATGATGGCCCCTTTACTGACATGGCTACGAACACACGCGCTGGCCGCCATAGCTCATCCCCCACTGAAGAAGTCGAGACGGAGTGTCTGCTTCAGCTACAGCGAGACGCAATCGCACTAATTGAGCGCACATTGAACTCTCCCAACGTTTACTTTGGGATGTGGGAACCAGCACTGCGGATCCTTCGATACACTAGCGCCTCGAACTCCAGTATGATGGCTGGAAAGAAGCTGAAACACGGATACGGAGTCTGCTTCCAGTCGCTGGAGAAGCAAGTTCCTATCGTTGTAAGCAGTCGAGATGCAGCGAATGATAACGAGACTGCCTCGTATTTCAAAAAGCTGCGGTTCTTTACGACTGAACTGATGGAAGACCGGAAGTGGCCATTTATTGTCGTTCCAGTTGGTATCCTTGGAGTACTATCGCTGGATAATATGCATAATTACGAGCAAGAGGCTAACGAACTGCAACCTGAACTAGGAGTCGTGGATTTCTTACGTAAAATCGGTCAAAGTTTCGCCGAAGTGCTTACAGTCATTCGTGGCCGGACAATTCTACGACGCCAGCATCTTCGTGACGTAGCGCTACTCCGAGTGATGACTGCCTGTGAGAATTTTAAGCCGACTGCGAGCAATACGGGGACCGTGTCTTTGTATCTTCCACACCTCATCATTCAACAAATCGAAGACGCGCTTAATGGAGTGGACGCCTACATTGGGCTGGTAGATCCACTATGTGAACGCATTCGCTTCATTTGCGCGTCTTCAAAGAGTAAAATGGAGAGAAACACAGTCGATACAGCTCAGAGTTTGTCCTTCCGCGTCTTCTCCAGCCAACGCTCTATCGTGATTCCGCAGCTCGCGCAGTACTTTAAGGAGCAAGAAATCTCACAACAACATGGCAGTGAACCGGGACAAAAGTTGAAGTATTTTGGAGGGTCAAGAACACCTCAAGGTCCGTTTGTGTGCGTTCCAATACCATTCGTCGGGGTATTATCTGTCGACACGTTCCCTGGAGCTGCTGGCGGTGTATTCTCTCCCGGGTTTCCTGAGGATGGCGTGGTGGCCTTTTTGGAGAAGATAGCGAACTACCTGGGCGAGAATATCCGCACACTTGCTGCTAACGAGGCTGGAAATATACTTCCAACGCTGTTTCGAGGGAATCGATCGACGGTGCAGCTGCTCTTTCAAGAGATTTTAGCGATTATATCTCGCAATCTGGTCGCTGTATTCGACATGAAAGCATTTTGGTACGAACGGGACAAGCAAAGTGGGCAATGGCGCAGGAAGGGACTGCTCGCTTCCATGCAGAGATCGACAAGTCGAAGCCACGAGCCAATCAACGCTGAAGAAGAGCAACGTGTAATGCAAAATCTGGAGGATCGGTACAAGCAGAAAGATTACTCGCGGGGTGTTGGGAGTGGGAATTTGGAGATCGTTTTGCCGCCTGTACACCAGCTTTCTCGAGATCCGGAGGTCTTAGTTGTGCATTGCGCTTCGGCACGTGACGTCGGTGATGATGACGCCGCGTTGGTTCCGACAGTTCTGCTCTTACGTCGTGTCAGGGGTGCAACGTGGATGTATGATGAGGATTTCCTATTGTCTGTCCTACCGCTGATCAATTCACTGATCGAGTTGGTGAACGTGCGAGCTGAAGGAACTGTAGCCCGTCGACTGGCTACACGACAGATAAGTGATTTATGTAGAACATTGGAGAGCCTACCTTCTGCTGAGGCGACTCAAGTCATGTACAAGACCATGTTACCAACCGCAATGGAGACGATAGCACAGGCAATGAGTCGAAATAACTGCGACGTCTATATCGGCCAACGCGAGCTCAGCGGTCGAACCAAGAGTCAAGTATCTGAACTTCAGCTGCGGTTTGTGGCTGCTTCCAGTCGAAGTCTCATGCGAGGCGTTGCAATCGACCTGGAGAACGTCGATAATTCGTCTCTGACCGTCGTCCAGTGTCTTCAGAACCAGAAGTTTGCTGAAGTCTCATTGACTCGAGAGAGCTCTCCTGTTCGTGCACTTACATCGAAGTCAGCACTTCGGGTTTATCTTGCAGCTCCGATGGGCGACAACTATGTGCTCTGTGCAGATAGCTTAGGAGAAGAGGCCTTTGTCCCGGGAAAGCGTCAGGTTGAGCCTGATATCATCGCGTTTATCAAGGCAGCTGCGTCGAAACTACACGAGACGATCCTGTCGACTCGCCATCGATTGAGTTTCGACCAGCTGCGAAGTCTCACAAGGCGTCCACATACTGACCTCAAGCTATTTCACTCTACCATTCTGGGAGGTTTACGTCGTGACCTCGTGGATATTCACTCGCAGCAGATCCTTACGCTTGGAGCGGACTTTACCAGCTCGTTTCGACTGGATGCGTGGCAGCGTTCAAGCACGCGACGACTGTTAAAGACGCTACCGGAGCACTATTGCTCAGTGAATGGCTGTGAAAAAATGATGATCGCGCACGAAATCCACTCGGAATCTCACGTTTTTCTCCCGATGAGCAACGTACCAAGAACTCTGGATATGAGTCGATCTTGTATGCAGCCAGTTGAGGGAACAGAGAAGCATGGGACGTTTACTTGTGCGTGTTTGGCTACTATGTTAGATTCTTCGGTGGCGGGCAGAAGTGGAGACGCCAAGCTGGCTCTGTGTATCTTCAGTCACGATGCGACATCAACGCAAGAACGAGGAGAGTTGAGACTGGGGAGAAGGTCGATGATCCCTCGAGATTACGGAGACAGCACAGCCTTCTTTACCAGTTACCAACGACAATACTTCTTCGCGTTTGCAGCTGTGGCCTCCGATGTGTATACGCATGTATTTCGTGCTTGTGCACTTGAAACCTTCGCAGCTGAGTTGTTTATGGTGCTGCAAGAGTATCTTGACGCCAAGGACGGAATAGTCGTTCGGTTTTCTGAAGACGACGACAGCAAAAAAGCAGACGATGCTCAGATTTTAGCAACTGATGACGACGGATGTGGGTCAACTGCATTGGCAGGATCCACGCCAACCGTTCTATTTAGTCAGCAGCCCAACAAAACGCCACCAGGACGGCCTCTACTTGGCAAACTTGAGAAGAAAGTTGGACAATTCGAGGCGTCCAACACGCCACTATCTATCTTAATGACGAAGAAAAGTATACCAGCGCCTCTGGAAACAACCGCACAAGACAAAGCGAAGTTGGGTCCACTCTCCGTTGGAAGCTCTAAGAAAGGTCAAGACAAAATTGTGAAACGTAGAGGTTCAATGTCATTGCTCGGGGGTAAGAAACACTTTCGGTATGGGAAAAACAAGAAGCAGGATGAAGAGCAGGAGAAAGACAAGCAACGGGAGCAAGTGATGAACGCTTCCACTCAGTTGCAAACACTCGCGCCTTCACGAGCACAGCAGCTACGACACGAGAAGGTGTCGCTACATGTGTTCGTCCGTGCATTGGACTACCAAGAACGGCACGACATCATCGTCTTCACTGTCGAGAAGCAGTCAGTTCAGGCTGCGAGTACTGTGGAAACTCTCATTCGGCAAGTGAAAGCACGAGCAGAAGCTATAGCTACTCAACTGATAGAAAATCCTCCTCGTGGTGATGAAGAGATCAACGCCAAACGATTTTGCTCGCTATTCCCGTCAGACGATCGAGGTGGAGGCGGGTTCCTCCTAATGTCACTACTGCAAAAAGCTCGAGATAACTTTCAGCAGATCGAAGGTTCTCTCGGAGGTGCAATGCGTCAGTTTTTAACTGGAGCTCAAGCCACTGCGCGAGATGTTCAGTCGATGAATGCTGAAGAGTTGAGTGCTCTCTTTGGTACTGCAAATGAAGCAAGTCTCACCCCAGCAACAGCATTACTACGAGTGACACTGGTGGCTTGTGGAATGAAACGTGAGAGTGCAGTGGCTCTTAACCAGACTGATTTACTTAAGGAATACTTACGGATGCAGGCTGGACGTACGCTTCTACAACTTGACCCTACCGATAAGAAAGTCTGGGGAGCTGTTGGCCGAGCCAGAGCACTGATCCGCACCTTTAATGAAGCAATCCACTCATTAGAACCACGTCAAGTAGCAGGAGACAAGCCCTGTGGGATGAAAGAGGCAGCAAGTTTAGCGCTACATTCTCTTCTCGACTTGCTGCTCGCCCAATCGGCAGTTGTTAGATACCTGAAGCACCTGGAAACGGAGATGACACGCGAACGAAAGCAACTCTACGACAACCCAGCGACAGTTCTGCAGTGCTACATCCGTCAGACCCAAGCACGAATGGAACTCAAGAAGCGACGACGAGAGTTTCGAGCTGCCTTGGCGATTCAGTGTGCATTCCGGCAGCATTTGGCTCGTCGTCGCGTGTTGTTCTTGAGGTGGACTCGAGCTGCGATCAAAGTACAGCGAGCTTATCGCCGCAAGCGTCAGCGAGCGAAAGGATCGCGGCCCCAAAAGTTCACAGCGCAGTTGTTGTCTGCGTCACAGAATTATGGCACTTTGGGACGATCTCCGTCTGTGGTGGCTACTATGGACGAGGCATGGCGTACAGACATGTCTACTTTTGGTTCATTCCAGGAATATTTAGCAAGTAAAGGTGGACGTGAGCAGCTCAGAAAAGAGGAAGAACTTATGTGGAAGCATCGAAGGGAGTTGGAGAAAGATCGAGCTCGACTTGCGCGCGATGAAGCATTACGGGAAGACGTGGGGGATTTATTTGAGCTTTTAGACGATGCTGGGAGTGGTGAATTGTCGAGAGAACGCACTACTGCGTTGATCACTCGGCTACATGTCCCATTGAACGAGGAAGAAGTGGCCGATGTCGTGGCTATGATGGATAGCGATGGGTCCGGTGGAATTTCCATGGACGAATTCATGCGCTGGTTTGTTCACGAATTCCCACTGCTACAGAAACGAGCCCCTCGTGTCTGTGGTGTGGTGACGAAGCGTGATTGGCAGTGGGTGATTGAGCAATCGGCTCGTTCTGTGATTCTAAAACGATGGAGGGCAATGCGTGCAGGAGCGACGGCGACCTAAATTGGCCTTGCAGAAGGTTCCGTTCGAGAAAAACACAAATGTTGGTTATCCGTTAACTATTTTATTGGTATCCAGTGTTATGGCGAACATTAAAGGCCAGGGACTCTCAATTGCGAGCAACTATTGGACAGTTGCTATTTGAAACTGTGAGCCTAAGGGTTAAAGTTTTACATTTTGGGCTCAGTAGGCTCATACCGAATCCGTCTGAAACCAAGAACTGAATTGAAGGCGGTAATTGGTTCTTAGCCGGTAAGTTCATCGGGGGTCTGAAGGTGCAACCCCCACTATGCTTTTCTTAGAAGGTTGTGGATAAATCACGAGTTCGGGGGGTGTTTAATGAGCTCCCGACGAGAGCCAGTCTCGCTATCATGGTTGAGATAAGACCAGGATTTGACGGTGCACGGTGCACTGACGAATTGCAGTGAGCAAAAGCAACCCTTTGTCGTCGTGGTAAATTATTACACTTCGAATAATTCATTCAGAATCACGCAGCTAAATTTGGGATGTTTGCCGTTTCACTCCCAGCTCATGTAGCATCCTCCAGGTGAAATCTACAAACTGAAGAGGATCGTCACAATTTGCCTATGTTAATGGTACATGCATTAATATTAGTATTCGCGGCTTCGTGTATTGCAGGGTACCTACAGAATCCATCCGCCATTAGAAATGATTCTCCCTCACTCTTCAATGGAGCTAGATACCCGTCAAATCTACGAGTAAGTCAACCCGCATCACGCTCACCAATCCTCAGCGCTTGCAGACTTGTCAGCATCATGCCACCAACCTATTACAGTAACCGCTAAGTTAGCGGTTGCTGTAATAGCGGCTAACCGAGTGAGCTTATGCAACCTTGTCATGTCGCTGCCGCAGGTCTAGAGATTCGGGTTCCAGTGCTGGACACAGAGCTAGCCGATTGGGTGAGCTTCTGCGAGGAGAAAGGAGTGATGTAACCAACGAGGCCAACATGATAAAACGATGCAGAAAGGACTCGCGCTAAAGCAACTTTCAGTTTAAGAGCTGTAGAGGAACTAAGCAATGATGGAAGGGCACAAGCAGAAGTGTGCTTGACTCGGTTGGCTTGTTCGTTGGCAGGCTGAGCCACCCCACGATAAGTATACTAGTAGCTTGGAATTTTTTTATAGGAATAGACTGTTGGGTCCCCGTGAGCCGGTAGTATTTTATTACGGATTTGGTATTAAAATACCAAATCGCCTCTAGTACCGCCGGTACTGTAAGGGAGCCGGCTACTTGTATGCGTTTGATGACGGTTTTTAGATGTTGTGTGCTCGGATGCAGCAACAAGCCGCAATCTTTTCACTATCCGATCCTCCTGTTGTCTGGCAAGTCGCTCGAAGCCATTCGAAACCTGAAGCATGTCTCTCATCAGCGTTGACCTACACGCTCTGGCAACGAGCGGCGCGGACTACCTCGCCTCCCTGTACGCTTTAAACGAAAGCAATCCTGGTATCGTGTTCTTGTCGTACGATGCGTCCTCCGCCGATGTCCTGGGCACCACCGCCACCGCAACAAAGATCGCCGATCTAAGCTGGCAGGCGTTCCACGAGGGTGGTGTGTACAACAAGGAAGACAACTCATTATACGTATCATCCAACTACGTTTCGCTCGCGGACAACATCAACGTGACAGTCCTCTCCCTCGACGACTACAGTGTCCACAGCACTCAGCTCTCGGGCCTCGCCATGGCAAACGGTGGATCGACGTACTACCCGCCTGGATCTGATCAAACCGCCACACCTCCGATGCAGGTCTGGTGTGACCAGGGCAACCTCGAGGCCTATGCCAAGCTTCTCGCCGTGAATGTCAACACGAATGAGTCCGAGCCTCTAATCATCGGCTACAATGGCCGCAACTTCAGTAGCTTGAACGATATGAGGCAGCACCCGGAGACCGGTGATCTCTGGTTCACAGACCCTGAATATGGTTACCACCAGAAGTTCCGTGCGGAGCCTAAACTGCCAAGACACATCTACCGCTTTGAGCCCTCGACGGGCATTATCCAGGTTCTCGAGGACGGTTTCGTGCAGCTTAATGGTATTGAGTTTTCCCCCGATTACAAGACGCTGTACGTTTCCGACACGGGTGCTCAAGAAGCGGATCTGGATCTTTCTCGCCCGGCTACCATTTACGCATACGACATTGTCGACAATAAGAGGATCCAAAACAAGCGCTTGTTTGCCTTTGCTGACAGCGGAATCCCTGATGGTGTACTGATGGCAACGTATGGGCTGGCTGTGGCGATGGTGTACACATCTGGAACCCCGAAGGTATTCTACTGGGCAAGATTTATCTGGGCGAGACTTCCAACAATTTCGCTTTTGCTCCAGGCAAGGTGTTTGTTTTCGCCAACGCTAGAGCTTGGGTGTCGAGGGTATCAACGCACTGGGACGCGAGGTTTGTAAGGACTTCGGTGTTGACAGCGATTCGAGATGCAGCAACAGCACGTTCCTGTAACGCTTGCATGGTACCTTTTTCGTATTAGATTTTTCGTGTCACACACAACGTGGGAAAATTCGACTCACTGTGAAGAATCATTCAACCGCATTTTTTTATACTAACAAAATGTTCTACTCATTCCTTATTCCACTGGATTTTTTTAATTTTGAAGTAGTTCAAATATTTGTTATATTATTAATAATATATACTACGTAGTACAACAGTACAAGCCTAATTTTAAAAATAGAGTGAGTGCATGGAACAGTGCCCTTTTTTTCTCGAAGCCTTGATATCCGCATCCGGCTTGCGGGTATACCTCGTATAGCGTATACTCCCCCACTCATTTTTGCAGCGGAGGGGAATCAGCAGCAACCAGGAAGCCATGGCACCCGACCTGCGCGTCAAAGCGGCGGTGCGACCGCCGCGCCACGGAGGAGGGGCGAGTGATAGTGAAGAGGCGGTCGACAGCGACGAGGAGTGGTTCGACTAGTCAGCGGAGTCGTCGAGTACCGGCAGCTCCACGTCCAAGCAGCGTCGTTCGAATGCTTCCGACAAGTCTCCAGACAATCCAGAGCGGTGAGCAGCCAGTGGTGATAGCTCCGTCGCTCGAGAGGAACGAGTTTAGTTCCTGGGGCGCCTTAGACGCGTATCTAAAAGTCTATTCAGCCGAGACATACCAAGTAGCGTTTGATGCACTGCATATGGTAGCCGGAGTCGTATCGCATTATCTAACTGGTTTGTGCGTACAATTGCTGCGTACAGATCTTCCGCGTTCGCACTAACAACAAGGTCGTGACGAGAAATAAGAAGATTTGAGACTCCGGGTCTACAAAGCCGCTTGTGCCCAAGGGGTGGACTCACTACTCGAAGACTTTCGTCTGCACCCACGCAGGGAAGCACAAGCCGCGTGGACAAGGCAAGCGAAAGCGGCAAGAGTCAAGAGCTCTCGAGTGTGACGCGCAGGTGTGTTTGACGCTCAGTCGGGCTCAGTTGGGCTCGGATGAACTGAAATGGATTAGAATGGTGTTGTTGGTTGGTCATGCATGTGCTCACGTACAATTGTATCGCAATGCCTGCGTACAAGTGACCGACTCGGCTGTAGCAGTTCTTACTTTTGTGCTGCGAATTACTGTTGCCCGTTTGGAGCATAACCATCCGCTCTCCAGACATATGTTCGGCCATTATCCACACAACCGGTCAGCTATTGAGACTGGGCTGGCGGGGACTGTTAGCGAGCTTGTCAAAGCCGAAACCAAGAAGAAACACATCCTGCAGTTCATCCACGAAAATTCTAGCTGCTATTTAACGAGCCAGGACGTACACAATCTGGTGCGCAAGCTGAAGAAACAGACCCATACAGCTTAGACATCTGCAAAACGATTGAAGCAATGCATTTGGGAAGGGCCAGTTCGTACAACATGCTGTTCTCCAGAGCGAGCGTAACCCAACGCTTCTGACGGCCCAGAAGCAGTTCAAGCGCTACAATCCGGCATGGACGCGCATCAAATGCATATTGATCGACAAAGCTTTCGGCGAGAGCGTGTTGAAGAAAACGTTTCCGGACGCGACGTATCTGTTGTGTCAGCTTCACGTGTTGAAATATCTGCGAGAGCAGATAGCATCAAAAGACTATGGGTTCAATGCTTGGCAGAAGCAGCAACTGAACGGATTGATCAACTTGCTAGTGTACGCAAAACCTGAGCGACAATACTTGCGCTTGCGCGAGTATATGCGCCATATTATCGATGCAGGGACTGGTAGAGTGCCAGCTGAGGCAGCTAGTTCTGGGGGAGATTGTGTTGGGCACTGGCCAGACGGAGATGGGCACGGATGGTGTCCAGTTCCTGTTCGCCACTAAGCCGAAGCCTCCCATCGCCCACGAGATAGCGAAGCCCCCCCCCACACACACACAAAACCACTGATGCGACCAGAAGAAGTGACGCGAATCTTCCCCATCCAATTAATTAACAAATGTACCTCCAAGGTCACAGCCTTCAAAGCAAAAAAACGGGAACTTTGGAAATGCAGCTGGAGCTGGAGATTGTTGGCGTTGGAGTGTCGCGAACTCTACGGTATCGCCCATGAGAAAGTGGCACACTGCAGTAAAATTCGTCAAAAAAATCAAAAGAGCTATAACCTGAATTGATCGATTAGACTTCGCGCAACACATGAATTCTACCTTCTCCGTCGAGGAGGACACCACTATACCTAAGCTGTTGGAAGATCTGCCAATGCTGTCGAACGAGTATGCAGACATGGTGGATCTGGCTTCGAATGAAACCCTTAGCGCCCAAGTCATGCAGATGATTCTACACAAACTGTTTGGTGCGGATCCTAGTGTTCTAGTGATCGACCCGTCTAACATGGGTATTTCAAATGGAGCTTTAACGACAGACAGCAGGTATTTTAAAATGGCGTTGGCTGGAGTCACGAAGAAGATGAAAATTCTGTTTCCAATCAGCTGCAACAATAACCACTGGTGCGCTGTGCTAGTGGACT